TCAGTAAGAGTATCAGAGAGAGGCCTGGGGTGGGGTCGCCAAGGAGGGGGTGAGCCTTCACAGGGCATTCCGGGAGAAACCTGGATAGGGATGGAGGGAGAACTGAAGGATTTTTTTTTTAAATAGCTCGACGGTGTTTTTTTTTTTTTCAATTAAAGTATGAAGGAAATTTTTTCAATTTATAACTGAAAATTAGCTTTGTACTTACCATTACCTGCTTGGTATGATAAGTAACCTTTGTGACTGGCTGCAAAATCTGAACATCCGTTAGAATTCTCTAAAGGGCTGGGTCTCTTTCAATCTCATATAATTTAGAAGTTTCCTTGAGTGATGGCCTTGATTTATGATGCTTTATCAAGTCAAACCAAAGTATGTCAACGTGGGATCCACTGCCTATTACGAAGTGAATATGTATTTTAACACCAAGACAGATAACTTCCTATCAAATTCTACTGTATAAATAGTGTTAGACCAAGGTGTATTTACATTTTGACTTTACATGGTATTTGTAGTAGAAATAATAATAATGTCGAGATATTCTCGAATGCCTTCTGTACGGAAACCTTGGTGGAGCAAATTAATTACAGTTTATCTTTACAAAGATAATTCCTACATACTAGAAAGGTCCCCAGCTGTAGTATATTCAGCTCTGGTATGGTCAAGTAAAACTTAATAACATTTAAAGAACAAAGTTGTTGTAACTATTTTGTTTTGACTTAAGAAAATTCGTTTTAAAGGATTTCATAAATGCTTCGTTTCTTGAGGGTGATAGTGACCTGGTAGCATTCTAGTGACCTCTGCTGGTATTGCTTTTTTATCAGATGTCTTGACTTTTCTTTTGATTTTTACAACATCTGTTATAATACTGTTTTTAAATACTTAACCTTTCCACAAAGGCAACAACCTGAAAACAGTTTGGAAGTTGTTTAAAATAGCTGTAACTATAATTAACACAATAGTTTTCAGTAAATTAATTTGATTTGGTTTTTCAATCCTATTTGGGTATATAATGCTAATTATTACCTGTAAATTGAAGGGTACTTTATGTAATAATTGTAAACAGCAAATATGTTACTAATTACGTATTTTCTTTCCATAAATACAGAGCTTTATTTACAAGAAACATTTAAGCCTTTAGTGAATATTTCTCCAGATGCAAGGTAAACTTGTGAAGTTTTTCTCCTTTGAAAGCATTCATTCATTCAGATTCATCTGTTTCATTACTATGGTTGATAGATTTTTTTCTAGATAGGGGCCAGCCTCCTTAATTCCAAATATTAAATTTAGGAAACTTAGAGACAATAGAAATCACAGCCATTGCTGGTCCAAAGGACTGATAATGGACTAGGAAGATGGCCATACTAAGTATTTTTAAAATCCAGATCACCTGCAGCAGAAACCAACTAGGGAGGTTGGTAAAGTGGCAGATTCCTGGGTTCTTCCAACAAATTAAATCAGTCTTTGGAAGGTTTTAGTGCCCAGGAATGTACACTAAAACAACTCCTCCAAGGGTTCTGACATGCACTGAAATTGAAAAATCAGTCTTATTAGACATTGGTCCAGAGGTGGTTAGAGGAATGGGCCACCCTCTCGGTAGTCTTCCAACCTGCAGGTCTTCATCCAAGCCTCTGGACAGCTCGGATACACTCCCACACTGGTATAAAAGCATTCTTAAAACACTAGTGCACTAGTGAGAAAAGGTGGAATACTGCCTTTTATTACTGTATTTCCAAGTCCTAACAAACAGCCACACCTGGCATGCCTCCTTGTCAGCAGTCAGGCGAGGCCAGAGCAGCCGAAGCAGGCTGGCCAAGGGAGGAAGCAGCCAGTCCAGGCCACAGGTCCCCTTGGGTGCCAGGGTCATCCTTCAGTTTCCCTGGAGTCAGCGTCTGTCATTTCTCAAATAAAAGCATTAAACGTGCTATTAAAAAACTGCTCTCCTAGAGATTTGTAGCTCACACTTGGATTTGAGGTTTATTGTCAACACAGATTGGAAAACCAAAAATTCTGCTGAGATCTCCAGTTTAAAACTTGTCCTTTTAGGTCAACTTTTAATACTGTAATTTAAAGACACTGAAAATACTTTTAAGGCAGGGGTGGTCCAAAGTTTTCTAATTCTTCTTTAAAGCCTCCTAACAACTTTAATGGCTTTTCCCGCAGCCTCTTCGATGCTGTACACTCGTTGATCAAAAATAAAATCCACAGATTGCCAGTTATTGACCCTATCAGTGGGAATGCACTTTATATACTTACCCACAAAAGAATCCTCAAGTTCCTCCAGCTTTTTGTAAGTAGTTTTTAGTGTTTCTAAAGACATAGTTGCATCTACTTTAACTAACATACTTCAAGTAAATTGGCTCCTGTTACCCTCATAGAAGAAATTGTCAGTTTTGAGATCTCCATTTCTAAACTTCAGTTTCTCAGCTTACTGCTATTTGAATTGTACATTCTCAAAGTTGATTCCAGTTAACAAGTAATCGCCTTTCAGTGCAAGTATCAAAATAAATTTTTTTAAACTTGGAATTTTCTATTTAAATTAGAATATTTTATCACCTAAAATGAGGGGAAATAAAGCAATTTGTAAGTCAGTCTAATTAAGGAAATGCCATACAAGATAACTTGAGCCAAATTGCCTTATGATGCTTTATAGGTATCATGGTTTTGGAAACATGAATTCAAAAAGTCCTGTCCCCAGGATTATTTCATTGTTAACTACATCAGTGATAGAAAAACCCACAGCAAATAAAATTTTGACAAGCGAACATACCATGTTGGTCCAAATTAGGGCTGTATTGTCTGTAGGTTTTCTCAGCTGCATTTGAAATGAGATGGCTCCATAATCATCCAAAACTTAGAACCTCTTTGGTAGGCAGTATTAAAACGAGGCTCAGAAGGACCAGAGTCCTTACAAGAGGGCTTTAATTTTTTTCCTTTTAAATACGTGCACTGACTTTGAGGTTACAGTTGGTCAACTAGAACCCATAGGAGGCCACATTCATGGTCGAGAAGGGATCATATGAGCAGTCATTTTTTAAAAAGAATTTCGTAGACATTAAAAATCTACATCGTGAGCTTTCCTGTCTTGTCCACAGCCTCCGATGAGGAGATAAAGTCGCATTCTAGTGTGACGTGAAGGAGCCCAGGCTCCTCCTGGCACCTGCCTCACTCTTGCCAGACAGCAACACAGAGGTTATAGTGATTCAGAAAAATGCCCTGTCCATCAAACCAGTCCTATGTTTTAATAGTTTATGTGTAAATGTAACACTCTTCATGTTTGAATAAATGCTAAGAAAGAATGTAGGAAGGAGAGGAGTAATTTACAGAAAAGCATGAAGGTCGGTAAAGAGACGGGCTAGGGAAGAAGTATTAGGGACGTGTGGATGTTGCTGGTCAGCCTTCCGTCTGTCGTGCACAGGCCCTTGTCTGCCGTGGGCCGTACGCAGGCACCAGGCACGGAGCCCACGTACCCCTCAGAGTCATTTTAAATAATGAGTCATGAGAGCTAAACACCATTAAGCTAAACACCATTTATGATTATGTCCAGCACTTCACAGGATAAATCTCAGCCTCACCACCACCCTCTCAGGTAGGTATTTTTATTAATCTGATTTGTAAATGGTAAAATTAAGCGAGGCCGAGTAACTCTGCCATGTCACTGCTGGTGGTGGAGGAGTGGCCTCTGACCCGAGCAGCCCTCCCTCCAGCAGCCCTGTTGGGAGGCGTCTGGCCCAGAGGGTCAACTGTTCCGTGAAGTCCCAGAATTTAAGCAGTGGGGTGCAGTCTGTCTCCACGCCGTGCCGCAGAGGAGTGACAGCCAGAGCCAGGCCTTTGGCGAGTCCTCTCTTGTACAGAAAGCAGGAGTGGCTGTCTCTGCCAGTACTGCCTTGTATTTGGGCCAATATGGTAATTAGGCTCATTCTATTAGAATATTCAATTAGGGGTTTTAAGATAAAAATGATTTGAAATAAATTCCAGAACTTGCTTTTTGCTGAATTGAGATCATTTTCTGAAAGTAGTGTTGCCCTTGGAGACACGTGACAGTTAGCTGAGTGTGCAGTGAGGAACAGGGGTTGTCCTGCATCGAGATGGGCTAGGTGACCTAATAGGTCTTTCTTTTTTTTCTCTAAATTTCTAGGATTCTCATGATTTGAATATTGATGAACTCTTTGACTTGAACATTTTGTTTCTTCTAATTGTTCATCTTTTCCTGATAATTGTAAGGTACACCAGGAGGATGGAGTCGACTGTACCCTTTATAAAAGGTGGATTTTTGAAACCATAGACCTTGTTTTGTTTTAGTCAAACATGATCCTAGACTTCTCTCTTCTGACTTCTCCCTCCTCCTTTAAAACAGCCCGTGAAAAGAAAAGTTAACTTTTAAATGTTCTTTTAATTCTGCTCGGTTGGCTTGTTCTTGTTCCTAGTAGACAAAATTGGAGTCCTCCGAAGGAGAATTCAGGATGTAGAGGTGGGCGGTGTGAGAACTAGCTTAGCAGCTTCGACCACCACCATCACACGCTTTGGTTTGGAAATGTGTGGGTTCTTAATAAATATTGCTTAATAATGACAGCAGGCCCACAAATCTAACATGAATAATTACAGAAAAAAGATTCTTCATGGCCGATAGGTCCTAATTTCCAAATAGACCTGTAGTTCCCCTCTTCTGTCCACTTTTCCAGTGGGTGGAGAGGAGAGAATGTTACAATGTTAGTGCTTTGCAGTGTTTTACTGAGTAGTTAAATATAAACATAGACGTGTAAGCTGGTTTGAACAAAAGACAATTCTTATACGTAACATTTTCATATTAATTCATATATCCGGGTAGATTGTTAGAAAAGACTAACTTTAATTTGTTGCACATAGTCTTTCATTCAAGTGTGGACATGTGAACATTGAAAAGGTCTCCCTTGGCCCTAGAGCATGTGTGTCTGCCTTCCCGTGCAGATGTCCGACATGCCAAAGCCTGCCTTCATGAAGCAGAACCTGGACGCTCTGGGGATCGGGACGTACCACGACATCGCCTTCATCCACCCAGACACGCCCATCATCAAAGCCCTGAATGTCTTCGTGGAAAGACGCGTGTCCGCCCTGCCCGTGGTGGACGAGTCAGGTCTGTGTGCTGGGCCGTGCCAGTTGAGCAGAAGCAGTGGTTTATCTCTGGAGGCTGAAATTATCGCTAAACGACCTGGCGTATCAGATATGTGGGGAAAATGAAAACTCAGGCCGGGGAGCACTCAGGAGGACAAGAACAAGAATTTTAAACGGGCTTATTTTCACATTTTCCACTAAGATGTGATTTTCATGTCCCTTTAAAAGTAGACAAACTTATTTTATTTACCAGTATTTAATTCCTAGTAATTGTCTAGTTAAGGTTGATATTAAATGCTGCTTTTGGTTTCTAAGACATTTTTCTAACATATATTTTTATTTTTAGGAAAAGTTGTAGATATTTATTCCAAATTTGATGTAATTGTAAGTATTTTTAATTTCATTAAACCTGTCATCTAAAATGCATTTAAAGCGTAGTCATCAGTTTGTTTTTATGATTCTTCCTAACTTAACAATTCC